AGAGGGCAGAAGGCCAGGCCGGGAGCACGGGAAGGTGCGGGGGGGGCTCCGCGTCCCGTCGGGAAGGAGCGGTTTGATGCCTCTGCTCGGCCCTGCAGGCTTTCCGGGTGCTGTCGGAGCCGGGAGCGGTGCCGTCGTCCCCGGGGCAGGACGCCCTGCAGCACCACCGGGCTTGGCGCTGCTCCGCCGAGCCGGAACCCGCCGTCTGCGGCGTCAGCAGGATCTGGGTGTTCGGCCTGAGGCGCAGGAAGGGCATCGCCCGGCGCATGGTGGACGTGGTCAGGTAGGAGCCGGGCTCCCCGCTGGGGTTTGTCCTTGGGGCGGGGAGCGGGGGGAACGATGACGGTGGCGAAAAGCGTTTGGGAAGAACTGTTGAGGTTGGGGATCGTCGAGTCCCACCGCTGACCCGGCACCGCCAACTCCACCGCTAAACCTACCTCCAGGGCTGGGGACTCCACCACTTCCCTGCGCCGCAAATTGGTACCAAATTTGTCTGGAATCCCCACTTCAGAGTGGGGGGATGTCACGTGGATGGATGCTCTGTGTGTTTCTAACATTTAAGTAATATTTGCGTTTAAAATCTGGCACCAGCGTGGGCCACGCTGTTAACTGCTGGGTATAACCAGAACACAGAGCTCCGCGGGCTGGATTTTCCAAGAGAAACTGTGTTTGTTGGGGGGAAAAAATAATCATCATAATTGTTTTAGTGGACAAGTTGATGGGCCCAAACACTTGAGTTTTTCCAGGCAGGAAATTCCAAGCTTTTCAAGCTCGGCCTGAACTGGGAGGAAGACTTAGAAACTTCCCTTTGTCTATTAATATGGACTCTCTGTGGGGGTTTTCTGCCTGTATTTGGTCTCACGTTACCCTTCTTGCTCATTTTCAAACGCCTCCCGGTTCCTGATTCCACCAGAATCCAGGAGAACAAACTGGGCATCTCCCAGCGCTCTCTGGTTTGAAGGCAAAGCGACAGAGGCACTAACAGCCTCCTGCAGGGGAGGCTTCGGGGGGGGGAAACCACGGCGGTGGGGGGGCTGTTTGCAGCACGTCCAGAGCTCTCCTCTCTCTTTCCAGGAGCACCTTCATGTACGGCAGCTACCTGAGCACCGCCGAGATCGCCTTCTCCGACCCGACGCCGGACGGCAAGTCGTTTGCCACGAGATACTGCCAAACCCCCAACTTCCTCGTTTACAACTTCATTTCCAACAACTGATTCGACTCGATCGTTAGAAGTTGAGGTTTGTCTGGAGAGGATTTGGGTGTTTAAAATAAGGCGTGAAGCGTCGTTAACGGGCGAAAAGACGCTTTCCTACTGATTTTTTCCCAGTTCTTCCTCCCCTGGCGAGCGAGCCGGGGCGGGGAGCGCGTCACTTTGTGTACAGAGTTGTGTTACGTTTTGGTGTGGAGCCTTGCTTGGGTTGCAGGTGGGTTGGTTTCTTCTGAAGTTAAGTTTTATTGCGAGTAACTTAATTCCTTTAAAAGATTTAATTAATATAAAGACGGCTGTTTTCTCCCCGCTGTCATCCTGGGCTCTCAGAAGTGTGTAAAAGGCGGCGTGGGAGCCTTAGTACAGGCAGTCGCTAAATTTATGCACGGAGGAGTGGGAGAGGACTTAAAATGACCAACTTGTAGCAGAATTTCCCCCCGTGTGTAAGCCCTGGAAGCCTCAGGGTGTTGTGCTGCAGGGGAAGCCATCACGGGGGGGTTGTCTGCTCAATAAAAGGGGTGAAGTGCTGCTGCTCGAGCTCGTTTCTGTGCACAGGGGTGTGGGGGCCGCTTCCACCGCTGCCCTGATTTGAGGAGTTCAGTGGAAAAGGCAGCAGGGGCTGAAACAGAAGCTGAGGGTGGCGTGGGGGAGCAGGACAAGGACGTGTTGCAACCTTTTTGTCTCCAGCTGGCCGGGGGCAGGAATTTCCCCAACCAGCAGGGTTTTCCTGAATAAATCCCCAGGAGACTGGGGTTTTTTTTTGACCCTACACCACAGTACGATTCTGTGTAATGACCGGTCATTTCAGGAAATCTTTTCCCTGAGCTTGCAGCTGCTCTCCTCTTGGTAATGTTCTCCTATTTTCTGGGGGCTGCTGCCCCCCGCCCCGACCTCAGGAACACAAATACTTTACCCAAGAGCCCTCGCTAAAGCTTGCACGTACCTCACCCACACTCCTTAGGAGGAAAAAAAGCACCGTTTTCCCACGGAGATCAAGAAGAAAACCTTTATTCTCAACATGCCACAAACCTGTTAATTCAACACAAAGAGAGGGAAGGGTTTTAAAACAGCTGTAACGTGACAACTAAAAGCAAAACTAGTGCTTATTTAGGACCTAAGCGCAGGCAGGAGGGGCTTGCTCTAGAGGCAGAGCAAGCCCCAGTCACCTCAGGCACGTCCTTAAACCAGGGATTACTGTTTATAACGAGTTTAGGCTCTGGTTTTAAGCACCCAGAGCAGGTTTCACCTACTAGAAAGATAAATGCCGCAGGAGTAGGCCTTGCTCTAAGCTCCATCCCTGAGCCCCTGCGCCCGGGGAGCCGGGGGGCAGCTTTGCTGGCCCTGAGCTGCGCAGTGCAGGAGGGCAAATCGTTTTTATTCCGGGGCCAGACTGGCTTCCAGGGCTTCCACGATGCACGCGGCCGAGGGACGCTGCTTGGGGTCCTCGCTGGTGCAGATGGAAAAGAGATCGATCATGTGCTGGTAGGATGAATCCAGTTCCTCCATGTTGAGGGCCGGGCGGGTTCCCAGGGCTGCGTAGTAGGCTTCCTCGTCAAAGCAGTCCTCGTCAAAAGAGTCCTCTGGACAAGAAGGTGGGAAAGGGGTTGGGAAGGAGGGGGAGGGCTGGGAACCTGGGTCACGGGGCTTTGCGCCCCAGCTGCCCCTCAGCCATCACAGACTGGTTTAAGACCACCCAGTCCCACCCCCCTGCCATGGGCAGGGACACCTCCCACCAGACCAGGTTGCTCCCAGCCCCATCCAGCCTGGCCTGGAGCCCTGCCAGGGAGGGGGCAGCCACAGCCCCTCTGGGCAACCTGGGCCAGGGTCTCACTGCCCTCACAGGGAAGAATTTCTTCCTAAAATCTCATCTAAATCTCCCCGCTTTCAGTTTGAAACCATTACCCCTCATCCTATCACTGCCCTCCCTGATAGAAGGTCCCTTCAGCTTCACTACGCCTTTGTTAGCATTAATTACAGCCTGGGATACTTCATTACTGGCCCTTTACCTTAAATTGCTTATTTTGAAGCTGTATCTACCCTCTTTCTCCCAGCAAAATAACTCTGAGTCACCCTGGCAGAGCTGGCTGGGAAAAAAATTCTGCAGCCAGGAGATGGTGAGAGCAGGAGAGCGAGGGGAAAATCCCCCGGCTGCCTGGAGACGTGAGAACACAGGCCAGCCTGCAGGTCTGTGCCAGCACGAAGGCTGGAGCAAGAGATTTCCCAGCACAGCCCGGAGGATTTTTTAGCTTTGTAGCGCTCCAGGGCGCAGATCTGCCCCTCCCATCCACATCCAGCTCCAGCAAGGGGGTGGCCGAGAAGGCCAACAGCCTCCTGGCCTGGGTCAGCCATGGGGCGCGCCG